TTGATGAAGAAGAGTCCATAGAGGTAGGTAGATTTATATTATAGAGAAGGTATATATAAGCCTAGTGTGGAAGATAGAGACAGCTAACTGAATAAAAGCTTAGTTAGGTTTTCGAACTCAAATATGGATCAGTCGATATCATTTAAAAGTTGGTAGGTAAAAAATACACCAATTAATCATCATTTTTACATTTTTGGACTACCCTCCTACTCTATCAAAATTTTAATCTATTTTTGGGCCTAAATATTGAATAATTAATCACAAGAATGAAAGAATATTCACCTAAAATTTTAATCTTATCTGCCATTCCTGTACCTCTATATTTTACAAATTTCGTGTACGAATATGATGCTGAGTGTATACAAATCTATTTCTTTACAACTTTTTATCTTGTTTAAAAGTGAAATTCATTGTAACAAACGACAATTAAAAATCAAATGCGACTATCGTTTTCGAGCGCTCTGTGCAAAACAAGTTTGAACCAAAACCGTTTATGATCGATGTGAAGCACAAACCAAACAAAACAAAAATGGTGCTTTATCTCATCTCTCAACCCTCATTTCTATAACAATTTCTTTTGCTGCAGAAATTTAACAAAATAAAAATTATCTCGAATAAATATTAGAGAATAAAAACAATCAGAAATCGATTCTAATTGGAAAACACCTCATGTTACACTGCAAAATCATATCATCTCTTCAACATTGAAACTACTGATGCAGCTTTAAGTGTTTAAGGCGTTACTCAGAAGCTTTCTTCTTTTTTGAAGCAGACCCTTCTTCCTTATGCTTGAGCTTTGCCTCTCTACGCTCTCTCTTCAATCCCTTGGATTTATCGGGCATTGGTTTCTCTCCAATCTACACACAAAAAAGATTAAAACAATCAGTTTAGGATAATAAAATTCAGAATCGGATATCGGCATCTGCTTTGCACATTTTATGTGTTTATTATTATGTTCTTCTTTCTCACCTCCTGATCTGGAATATAAATCCTCCCGGATTTCCCGTGTACTGGATCTTGAGTAACGTTTTTAACCTGTAGAAACAGAGAAAAGATTGGTCACCCGTATCTCTAGATTCAAGGCAAAGACTGGAATTTTTTATGTTTTTTCCTTACCTTCTTCTTAGGCTTATCTTTGGATGTTCTCATTGCTTCTTTCATTAGGCCTTCGTCGGGAAGACGATGCCGCCGGATAACCAAGTCCATGGAAGGACCGACTTCAACAAGCTCTATTCTAGGCACGATTGTCCCTGACTTTTTAAGCTTTATTGCGCAATGAGTAAGGAAAACCTTAGTTGGGGATACAGCTGAACATACATAAGCACGGTCTACTCCAGCAAGATTTAGATTATCCACAACCTGCAAACAAATAATTGCACTTTTTTCAAATTCTGATATAAGCCAAGTACATTCATAATCAGAACCATAAAGGTGAAATAGTATTCCTCGACTTTAGTTATGGAGCAAAAGTAGGTCCTAAGGTCAAACACTTAACAAACGCATAGGGGTTAGGGAAAAAAGACAAATTTACCTCGCCTCGAAACAGATCAATCAGGACTTCTTTTAGATGCTTGAGCTCTTGTACATTCTCAAACCCTTCTCCAGTAAAGCAAATGAAAGGCTTTGATCCTTCATGAGGTGCTATTTTCTTGTCATAGGAAAACGATAGAAGAGATTTAAAGTTCTCTATCCCAACTTCTATAAGATCATAGACATGGTGATCGTACATTCTTCCAAGTACAAGATTGTCAGGTCTTTTCTTTGTGTGAGAGCCATACTGCAATACATAACACTCACCAATGTTAGGACACACATCAAAGTTCATTCGCTCGTACATTTTCAATAATTTGATCACGAGATTAAATTACCCAATAATAGAACAGGTTTAAAGATCTACAAATATCCCCCATAAGAAGACACACAAAGACGAACAAGACAGCAGAAGGATACTGGAATATGAACCAAGGTCACAGGATAGATCATCTTTATAACAAGTTGATATACGTTAGTCAAGAATCTATGTGAAATGTTGAATATTTAAGCAATTCATATGTTAATTACAGAATCAAAATCTATGCAGAGATCTCAAATGTCACACAATAAGACCAACGAGTTGCAACAGCTGCCTAAGCTTTTCAAATTGTTTGTGTTATGAAGAACATCGAGAGAAAAAACACTTACCACAAACATGCTACAATCTGTTTTAAGAGAGAAGAACTCCAATGAAGTTTCACCTCCACTCTCGAAAGGCCTAATGTTCTCATTCCTCCTCGAGTATTTAATGGCACCTCCCTTCTTAAGACGGTACAGTTCCATCAATACAGAGCTAAGAGTAGCACTTGTCTTCGTTCCATGAAGTATCAACGTCTTCTTCCCATTTTCAATCTGCAATTCCGAGGTTCAGGGCAGATTTAAGACAACCAATCAGAAAACAAAGTATGCAACTCACAAGAGAAACCCAGGAATCTCACAGATATCAAACATGATTCACGTCTACGTATACAAGCTTAGTTTTGTTTCTTCTTCTAATTCTCCGTTCAGACTTTCAGAGAAACGAAGCGACGAATCGAACGTATAAGAAGGAGATTAAGAGAACTCACCGGCTTAGGAGCTCGCGACGCGACTGCACGTTTGGCTTTACCGCTCTTTGGAGTTCGTATTTCCGACATCACTGATAAATCGCCGGAAATTTGCACTTGCGACGGCTCCGAGAGAGAAGAGGAAGAAAGCTGAAGAAGAGGTTTTTCGATTTGTTGATATGGAGGAGTCTAGGGTTTTAGTTCACAATTGGTAGCAATTTTAGAAGAATTGTAATATGACCCCCACTGTTATTAAATGTTCTAATTTCACCCCAAATATTATTTCTGTTAAGGTTCCACCATGATGGGCTATAAAACTCACGGCCCATGAAACTTTTACGCAGATTTTGATTCTACCACAGGCTATGAGCCTATGACAATCATAAAAGATACGATAGAATAGAATGGCATCAGTGCGAATCAGAACCGGATATATGCAAAACGGTTTGTATAGTATCAAAAATATATACAAAC